CGGGCTCCCTCTCGCCTCACACAATGGCCGAGGCATGCGGGCCGGGCCTGTACCTGCTCCAAGAGGCTGCTGGCCGACATGGCTCTCGGATCCTCACGGGTGGCGGCGGAGGCGGTCTCCCCTCAGGGCGGAGGCGGCGGCGGATGAGCCCTGGCGGCGGGAGCAGGCGGCGCGGCGGCGGCGGCGGCTTTTGTCCCTGACACTCGGGGGCCTCGGCGGACGCAGCGGAGACTCAGCGCGCGGCTCGGGCTCCGGCTCCGACTCGGCGACGCTCTAGCCCGAGAGCTCAACGCCCGTCTCTATGCTTTTACGCGCGCGCCCGCCCCTCGCAGCTGAAATAAGGGAGCCGAGCGGCGGAGTCGGACGGCGCGCGCGGCGCGACGCTGACTCTCACATTCACTCACCCACGCGGAAGGGGCCTGGCGCGAAGCACCCCGGGAAGGAAGGGGCGGGGCCCCAGCGCCCTCTGGCGGGCTGGAGGAGCGGAAGCGGCGCGTGGGGCTCCCCGCCCCCAACGCCTCGAGATTGGGGCCTAAGAGGGTGGGGGCGGCTGGGGTCGTACGGTGAGGTTTTAGCCAACAGCTCGAGAGAATAGCCTTAGCTTGAGAAACCGCACCGAAAGGGTTTCTTTGAGGAAGAGACCTTTGAAGTAGAAAAGAGATTAAAATAAACCTGATTTAGCTGCAAATGGCACCCCACCAGTCTCTGGAGGGGACCCCAAAGCAGGTTACAGGTAAACTTTGTAGGGGGCGGGGGAAAGAGGAGGGTCTTACCTTAAAAACCTCCCTCCCCAGGGATCTGGCCCTGCAGAGAGTGCCCAGAGAACAAAAACATCCGCAAACTATTTGGTGCCCTGCAAAAGATTTATCCCTTAACATTTCAATGGGAACTGGGGGGGGGGGGCGAAATCTTCAACTTTTTTTAGGGACTTTGCTTACCCATGTGATAATCCATTAAACTGGACTTCATTTACCTTCGTAAAATTTTACTTGTACCTTACATTAATCCAGAGACTCTGTAAATCTATAGACCTCAAAAGGGATTGTCCTTAACTGGAGAAGGAAGGAAATTAAGACTTGGAATGCTTCCTGTGAGTCAGGCTTTGTTATTAGGTGCTTCCAAAAGCTAAAAGATTTTAAACATCCTCAAAATAGCTATCAGTCTCTCTGTTTTATATCAGGGAACACTGGTTAAATCATATACCCAATGTCACAAAGATTAAAGAACCAGGTGTAGTTGACATTAACAGAAAGAAGCATAATAGTCACCTCCACCTCTTAAAGAGAAATTCTATATTCAGGAACCAGAATCCAGAGATTTCAAGAATGGGCAAAAGCATTTTTAATCCAAGGCAAACCAACTCATGTGTGGTTATTTGATCCTAAAACAGCATATATCCTAAGAGCCTTCATTATTGTAAATAGTAGCAAACAGATAAATAATGCACTATTAGGTGTCAACCTGATACTATCCACTCCCTGAATACAGGAGGCCTCTGTGGACTTATAGTAAAATAAATGATAACAGGGCACCTTAGACTTTGCATTATGATTTTGCTTAAAGTGCTTATTCTTTTCTTCCCATAATTACACTTTACAGTTGCAAGGAACAAGGTTAGATACCAAAAGTGATGGACTTCTGGCAGACAGTAAAAAGAAATCTAGTAATACTTATTAAAAGATAATCAGCCAGAAGCCTCTAGAGGAGGAGGGGGTAGTGTAGGTACAGATGGTTTAGAGAAGGATTGTGAGATAACCCTGAACCAACTCTGCATGAGTCAGACCTGCTGCAGGGAGCCTGGAGAAGACTTTCTCAGTGCTATTGTGAACATGCACATGATGAAGCTCCTAGATGGAATTCAAACCTCCGGTGTCCAGTAGTCAGAGTTCTGCCTCTGCATCCTGGAGCACTAACCAAGAGCCAGAGCAACTGCATGGAACAGCAGCCAACTGCAACACAGAGCTTGGACTGACTGGTAGCCTATAAGTTACTCCAGGAAACCTAAGTCAGTGGTAGAGTTTGGGCACTGAGCCAAAGGCCCCAGGCCAAGGACACCTAGCCAATCATGCTGCGCCATCTGCCCTTCAGGCTGCCAGCCAGGATGTGGAGCAGGACTTCAAAGAGGCCTTCATAGAAGGACAGCATTCAGACCTCTGCCCAATGTCTTACGCATGAACTTAACCACTTGACAATAAAGAGCATCCAAGACACCATCATATTTTATTCCAAAATCATAGGCATAACCTTCAAGGAAGACCAAACAACATTAGGCTTTAGATAAGAAATGTAGCCTCTACAAGGTTGGAAAGGAGTTTGAACCCAAAGTCACTTGTACAAAATTCCTGGCAGTCTGGATATTTGCCTGATAACTGAGGTGCCTTTGGAGGAAATGACCCAAAACCACACTTTGTCCCTGTTGAGGAGAGTCCAGTCCCAGAATGGAAACAGAAGGGCCTTTTATGTCCATCTGCTCAGGAGAACCCAATAGAAATCTATTTGAGATTCCAGCCATAGACTCTGAGGCAGGCCCTTCTCCATTCTGTTCCCTATGATGTCATCCTCTCCCTTCTCTGCCAACTGTCACCCAGGCCCATGACCTCCAAAGACTTGAGACTTAGACACTCCACACTTCCTGTTGGGGAGAAGAGGGACTGAGTTGGGTTTAGTACCTGAATATCCTCCATCCAAGCTGCTCCCCAAAATTAGTAACCTCTCAATTAAAACAACAAAAAAGGGTAATTCAGCCAGTTAACCCTACAGCGCAGATACTTATATTTATCCTTGAAAGCTGTATGATACTGTTAGGAAAAGGGTCAGTAGATATAACCTAGAAGGGGCGGGAGTACTAAATACTGGCATCACCTCTAATTTTGCAATGTCAGGTAAATTACTAAGCCTTTCTGAGATTCTCTCCTTTGATAATGAGGATAATAATATTTATCTGACATGTTTGTTACCAAGATAAACCAACAATAAAAACACAGACATTAACGCACAGGGGTTATGAAGCACTATGAAGCTATTGTCAGTCACTGTGACATGAGATCCATCCCCAGGGTGCTGACCCACATGGCACATGGCACGGCAGACCTTTCCTGTCCTGCCTGCTGCTCCCTTCAGCACTGTACTTCAGTGGATCTGCCTATTCTGCTCCCCACTTTGTCTCTGGGGAATCCACTCACCCTGCCCCTGCACCTCTGACTTACACCCCAACTGTTGTATACAGAAATAAATGAATCTTAAAAAAATATATAAAGCAGATACAGAACATTAGATGGTCTTTTCCTATAGCCCTATTACAGATGACAGTAAAAACTACCTTCTTTGAAAATATCTTCTTAGTGCATGAAATTTTTAGTTCTGTCCTCCTGGAGTTCCTGGTTAAAATACAAATATCTTTGGCTGAAGGGTAGTTCAGGGTAATTCTGAACCTGAATTAGTTCACCAGATTGATTTTAACAGGTGGCTAAAGAAACAGAACATCCAAGATACATTTATTCAATGGGAAAATAGAGAAGTTTGGAATATGAAGTATCATCTTCTGGGGAGAGACCCCCTCATGGTTTGGAGAAAAGAATACTATAAATGGTTTGGCTTCTGGTTTCAGCTCTGGGCATATAAAAAAGCCTTCAATTTCTTTCAAGTATACTTTTTATTTTGAAGTTTTACTTATTTATGCATACAAGAACAGTATACAAGTACAGGCCAGGGTGGTGGTGAGGGGATTCACCAGAGACAGAAGTAGGGAGAGGAACAGGTTGATCTACTGAAATACACTGCTGAGGGGAACCAGGAGAGGTCTGCTGTACCATGTGGGTCAGCTGGGTATGGAATTCATGCTGCAGTGGCTGCAAGTGAGCTTCATAGTTCTGTGCTTTAACTCATTAAGCACCAGGGAGGGCTCTCAAGTATATTTTTTGAGGGCCGGGGAGTGTGCTGGGGAAAGTCTTAGGAGTTCTCTTCCTCCTAAAGTGTATAGACAAGTCCAGGAATTGACAATAAGCAACTAGTTATTTAAGTAATTATTCAACTATAGCTGTGCAAAATGCAATGAGAAAGCACAGACCGACTTAGTCAGGGGGCTAAGGAGATTTCCCCAGAACTTCAGCTAAGACCTGAAGGATAGCCAGAAATTGACAAGAAGAGAAACCAGGGGACAAGGTGTACAAAGACCCCATGGGGAAAAGAGCATGGCACTGGTGGAGGAACTGAAAGGCCAGGATGACTGGCACATGAGAAGGTAGTACCAGATACAAGTAAAGAAGTGAACAGAGGCTTTCCTGGTAGTGCAATGGGTTAAAGCCCAGCACTATGAGGCTAGCAGCAGCCACTTCAGCAGGAGTTCAGTCCCTGGCCAGGAAGCTGACCCACATGACACAGCAGACCTCTCTTGACCCACCCACTGCTCCCCTCAGCTGTGTACTCTGTCCATCTGCCTGTTCTGCTCCCCACTCTGTCTCTGGTGAATCCTCTCCCCTCCCTGCATCTCTGGCCTGTACCCCAGTTCTGTATGCATAAATACTTAGTAAATTTTAAAAAAGGGAGGAAGAGGTATTGATGATCCTTGATTTGAGCAATTAGGTAGATGAGATGTTATTTTCTAATGCAGATGATACTTAATGTACTTAAAGTATCTGCGCTGTAGGGTTAACTGGCTGAATTACCCTTTTTTGTTGTTTTAATTGAGAGGTTACTAATTTTGGGGAGCAGCTTGGATGGAGGATATTCAGGTACTAAACCCAACTCAGTCCCTCTTCTCCCCAACAGGAAGTGTGGAGTGCCTAAGTCTCAAGTCTTTGGAGGTCATGGGCCTGGGTGACAGTTGGCAGAGAAGGGAGAGGATGACATCATAGGGAGGATGGAACAGATGAAATTAATTGGGGTGAGGAAAGATCATATATTTATCTTTGGATATACTGGGTATCAGGAGAACATATCAGAAGTGCTCTATACATAATTAAGTGGTTTGTAGTTTAAGGAGAAAAAAAAAAGACTGGGTAACCAGACAAAGGGTAGATAAAGCCAAACTCAAAAACTAGCCCTGGAAAGCAGACTGTAGGACTGAGACAGACAGAAGGAAGGGAAGGAGGACAGATGAACACAAAGTGGAAAGGCAGCACAGTGGACTATGATGCTTTGGTGGTGGGAGCACTATAATAACAACACTGAAACGGAGTTATACCTCCAAAATACGAATAGTGCTGTAAGCCAATGTTACCTCAATTAAAAAAAATAACAGTTAAAAAAAGATTTATTTGGGGCCCTCCCTGGTGGTGCAGTGGGCTAAAGTGCAGCACTGCAAAGCTAGTAGCCACAGCCGCTTCAGTGTGAATTCAATCCCCAGTCCTGGAGGTGACCACATGGCGCGGCAGACCTCTCCTGTCTCCCCTCAGCAGTGTACTTAGTCAGTCTGCCTGTTCTGCTCCCCACTCTGTCTCTGGTGAATCCTCTCCCCACCCCTGCACCTCTGGCCTGTACCCCAGTACTGTATGCATTAATAAATAATTCTTAAAAAAAAACCATTTATTTATTGGGCTCTCCCTAGTGGCACAATGGGTTAAAGCACAGTACTATGAAGCTACCACAGCCT